GTCTTGCCACCATTTGTGCTTTTTATTATGGGATTTGCATTACTTAAAGCCTTACTGGAAACAGTGGCTGTGGCAAGTGGCAGTTTTCAGGGTGTGGCACAAAGCAGGAATAAAATGCTACCCAGAGAAAACTTTCTGCTCACGCCAACAGTAGCATTTTTGCACTTACTGTGCTCGGGAGCAAATGGAATCATGCTGGCCAAGGCACAAGAGACTCAGGCCGTGTGCACACACTTGTTCATCATACTTGAACTTCTAGTCCTATCAGAAAACTTATTTTTTGCAAAGTACTCTTTTCTCAGGCAAACATCATTTAACAGCCAATGGAGAATTTTGTATGATCTTTTAAATTCTTGTTAGCTGAAGCCCGGTACAGCTGGTGCTTGAGCATTTACCCCTAGTGAAATCTGGTGGTAGAATGAGAGAGTTTGAGAGGCTATGAAGGAAGAGAAATTGTTTTAAAATCTTCAGAAAGTGACACTCCCACAGCAGGATTTTCAGGAGTATAAAAAAGTTTTAAAAATATGAAAAAAGAGGTAGCAGCCACTACAGCTAAAACCCTGGAAATCTTATTTGACTTTCTTGAAAGCAAAGGTGGTGAGAAACAAATATAGACTGGCAAACAGCCATAGTAAAAGAACTAAAGTCATTGGCGAGATCAAAGTCATTGAAGATGAAAGTGGAAATGTTAGTGAGAACCAGATGAAGGAACAGTGAAGCAATGACTTCAAAAGGATTATGAATGAAGAGAATCCAAAAGAACCCTGCCATATGATAAAACCAAACTAGGGTCTGATAGCACCAATCCTAGGAGCAGAAGTTACAGAAGCATTAAGCAACACGAAAAATAAAAAAGCTCTTGGCCCCAGTGACATATGAATGAGAAGCATGGAAGTGCCTGGGACATGTAGGCATAAACATATTGACACACGAGCATAATTTCATCCTGAGGGCTGAGAAGATGCCAGGTCACACAGCCCAAATCCCCTTCTGAGGTAAAATGAACTCAAGTAGAATGAGTTCCTTGCCCTTCAGGGCCAGTTACAATCAAAATAATTTCTTACCACAGTGGGTCAAATTCCTTGTCTGGGATTGAATCAGCAGGGTTCCTTAGACCCCGCCACTGACTGTGGCCAGTAACAGGCCCTGTTCTGTCCTAGTTCCTCTGGCTTTAACCTCAGGAACATCCTTCCTCAATATCCTGGCTCCTAACAGGAACTGACATGCAGACAGCAAACCTTTAGACCTGCTGGGCATTGATTAGTTGTTGCTAGTCCCCAGCCCTTCTGGCTGCTGAGGACCCGGTCTCATGGCTTTCCAAATGCTGCTCTCTTTCTTAACATAGTTTCATGGAATGGGGTGCTGCAGAGCAGTGTAACTTTGTGGTAGGAGAGTCAAAGGCCTGCTTCCCTCCATCACAATATAAGACTGTGGTGACTATTGTGGCGCTAAACTCATGAGCCACATGCACAAGAAGATTTGGGCAAAAGTTATTGATAAAAGGCTATAAAGAGAAATGAAGCTCAGTGACGATCAATTTGGATTCATGCTGGACATGTCAACAATGGATGCTATCTAGGATTGCCGACTTTCTAATCCCACAAAACCAAATGCCCCTTCTCTGAAGTCCCGCTCTCTGCTTGATCCATCTCCCTCCTTCACCCTTCCTCACTTTCACTGGGCTGGGGCAAGAGGTTAGGCTGAGGGGAAAGGGCTCCGGCTGGGGGTGTGGGCTTTGGGATAGGGCTGGGGAGGAGGGGTTTGAGGTTCAGGAAGAGGCTCAGGCTGGGGGAGGTGTATAGAAGAGTGCAGGCTCTAGGATGGAGTTTGACTGTGGAAGGGGACTCTGGGTGGGGGCAGGAGTTTGAGGTGTGGGAGGAGTTTGGGGATAGGGGTCCCAGCAGCGCTTACTCCCAGGAAGTAGCTGTCAGGTCCCTGTGGCCCCTAAGTTCCAGGAAGGTCAACAGGCACCTTGCCTGCAGCACCCATTGGTTGTGGTTCCCAGCAACACTCAGTGTGGGGTGTGGAGCCAACACTCAATGCGGGGTAGTGAACAGAGCCTCTCTGCACCTAGGAGCCACAGGGATCTGGTGGCACTTCTGGAAGCCAGATGGAGCTGGGGCAGGTAGTGAACCAGGCCCCTGCTCTGCCACCAATTGGACTTTTAAAGGCCCAGTCGGCATTGCCACCAGGGTCCCTTTTTGACTGGATGTTCTCCTGGAAACTGTAATGCTATCTTTGCACTAGGATTGCTTGTGGGAAAAATAGAGAGAGAGGAGGGAACTCCCCCTTCCCCCCGCATGTAATATTCATTGATCATGAGAAATTTCATGAGATTACATTCTGAGAGAAATCATCTGATGGTGTATGAGAATGAAAGAGATGAAGACAGCGATGTTAAAATGGTTAACTGGATAGATGGTAGTACTTAAAAGGTTAACCATTTCAACCTAGATCCCTGTGGGGCTGTTCCTCCCTGGCATGCATGGCGGCTGCGAAGTTAACCTGTTAAACCAGTAAGCCTAATTAACCCTCATATTTATTGGTATAGTTAGTGATTAACCAATTAGCATCCTTAGCTGAAGACTAAATCAGACTTGCCCAGGACATGAATGAGGGTTCTGTTACCATAGTTAGGCTAGGGGGAGAAACTGAATAGTCTTGAAGTACATCAGGACTTGGCACTAAACCCCTTTTTGTTCACATTGGCAATCATGTAGAAAACATACAGGCTATGTCTAGACTACATTCCTCTTTTGAAAGAGGAATTTAAATGAAGCAAATTGAAAGTGCAAATGAAGCATGGATTTAAATATCCCGTGCTTCATTTGCATATTTGCATCCGAGCACTTTTTCGAAAAAGGGTTTTTCAAAAGCGAAAGCGCAGTCTAGATGGGGTTCTTTTGAAAAAAAAACTTTTTGAAAGAACCCAAACTCCTGAAAAAATGAGGCGTATGGGTTCTTTCAAAAAATTTTTTTTTCAAAAGAACCCCATCTAGACTGCGCTTTCGCTTTTGAAAAACCCTTTTTCGAAAAAGTGCTCGGATGCAAATATGCAAATGAAGCACGGGATATTTAAATCCATGCTTCATTTGCACTTTCAATTTGCTTCATTTAAATTCCTCTTTCAAAAGAGGAATGTAGTCTAGACATAGCTACAGAGTGTTACCGTGGTACATGCATTCTGAAGATGAAAATGAGGAGGAAAAGATAAGCACTACAGCTACAGTGCCATTGATGGTTCTAGTTAAGGTTCCTCCAACTCTTCCATTATAATTCCATTTTCAGGTCACTTGTAACTTTCCAAAATTATCAGCTCTGAGGCTGAATTTTTCCCAGGGCTCATCAGTAGCTGTCTTTCAGAAAGTGAAATTTTCTGGGGAGTTTGCATAAAAATAGCCCACTGCCTTAGGCGTGTGAGAAGAGGGTTGGGGTATGATGAGGATTACAATTTTCCCCAGCCCCAGGCCCCCGACATGTCTAACTTCTTATCCACAGGGTCATACTAAAACTAAAAGAATATATAAAAATGAACACTTGAGACACTTATTTCCACTGCAAGCAAAATTCTTCTAGGAATTACCATATTCCTTGGCCAACACCTCTCCTTTCTGGGAAAGTGTTCTCTGGTAGCAGGCCTCTGGAAGAGAGAACTCTGTGTATAATTGAAACGGTACCTGGGTGATAGCCAGCATTACACAGGGATAAATCAAGCCTTGTAATAGTACATTATAATGAGCTACTTTGGAAAAAGTTTAAGCTTTGAAAAAGATGGGTGGGAAGGGATTGATACAAAGTGTTCTTGTGGTGGGTGGCATAATGCCTGCCATCAGATCTAGGATAGATCCACACACTGTTGTGTGAGGACACCAATTTCATAGAAAATGTGTGGGATGTTTAGGCAATGCAGCCTTGTCTTATTCTTCTGGATACCTCTGCTGTTATATACTACAAGTTATGCTCTGCATTTAAAAGCAGGGAAAGTTAACATTGCTATGGGCACCTTACATTTTTTTGTAATTTTTTGTGTGGAATCTCCACTAAGGACTCACTGAGACCTGAGTGGAGCACCCACAGGGACACCACTTAAAGGAGAATGATTAATTTTGTTTGACAATTTCCTGGAAAATAAGTTGGAAAAGAAATTGCCGCTTATGTATTAGAAATTCTGGAAGGCTTCAAATTAAATTTTCAACTCTGCATTGGCCAATCCAATGACAATGGATCCAATATGTCTGGGAAGTACAAGTGAGTACAAACAGTTCTTCTTGAGCAAAATCCAAACTGTATTGTCTCCCATTGTGGCAACCACACACTAAATCTTGTCAGTGTTGATTGAACTGAATCATGCAAGGAAGCAATCACATTCTTTGGAACAATCCAGCAGTTGTACAACCTCTTTGGTAACGGCCCTTAAAAGTGGGAAATTCTGAAGCAGTATTTGCCTGTTTCCCCTCATGGCATGTGGATGAGATGGTCAGCACAAATTGATGGCATTAAACCAGTTGCACAGTATTTGGACTTTGTGAGAGAGTCTTTAAGTGAGTTTGAATCTCTTACTCTCCCAGCACAGGCTCACACTGAGCTTAAGTCAATTCAGAAGTATACTTCCAAATTTGAATGCATTTTAATGTCCATGTGGATGAAGCTGCTAAAAATGATTCACAAAACTAATCTTGTAATTGAAGGACGTAATGTTATATTAGATAGTGGCAGTGATAACAATGAAAGACTTCTTAAAAGATATTCGATCAGTGGGATGCAATCCTTTCTGAACCCAAATCAGTAGCACAGGGTATTGACATTTCATCTGAATTTTCCACAAATCACAGCCTAACATCTCAATCTGATGGAGAAAGGCACTACCGACTCAATTTTTTTAGTTATTAATGACTCCATCAAATCTGGTCTTACATATCGATTTGAGTCACTGCAACAAATTTGTACCCTTTTTGGATTCCTTTAGGAGTGTGATGAAGATCTATATTCAGCAGCTGAACAGTTTCAACAAAGGTAAAACAATGAAATTTTAGAGAGATCTCTCTGACGACATCATCTTCCTGAAATGTATATATTCCACCAAATGTAAGTTGGACTGTTAACCGAAAGAACTGCTTCAAAAAATAGTCAATCAGCTTATCAACACTATTTTCTAATATCGCAATTGCATTACATATTTTTGTCAGTTTCCTTGCATCAGTGGCATCAGGTGAATGCACATTCAACGTGTTAAAACATGTAAAGAACTGTCATCATTCTACAATGGGAAAGAGCATTTGAATGGGCTCTCAATGCTTAACATTAACGATGTTGCATGTAAATTAGATTTTTTTCTTCAACTATAAACAAGTTTGCACACACCAAAGTCAGAAAAGCAGTCCTAAAATGGAGAGTTTTGCTTGTCCAGTTTTAAGAAGTTATAATAATTATATGCAGGTGCTTTATTAATAGATGACTATAATGTTCCCTTCCCTTCTGCCCTGACAACGTGTGGTTCTGTGAAAGAGAAACGGCCTGGCCTTAGAAGATGGGCATGTGCTTTATGAGATGAATGGGGCTTTGAAAAATGCAACAGTGAGTGAGGCCATGGTTCTCATGATCTGTATTGAGTCCTATCTAAGGATCTGTCACAAAACTGTGGGATTCTTAAGATGTTTTAAATTCTGATAGGATAGGTGTTGGTGTCTGCCTATTGACAACACAAACTAAGAGAAGCTATTCTACATATTTAATAAACAACCTGCAGAAGCCCGTGCAATACAAAACAGTGGAAAGTAAAGTGAAATAAAAGCAATTGTTCACTTAACTGTATGCCCACATCCTCCCACACAAGTCTGGTCTGAACTGAGCTGAGTTGTAGCTGCAGGACAGTGTCTCCCAAACACCACGGCAAGACATTATGGTTGTGAGAGGTCAGTGATCTTAATTGTTTCTCCTTTAAAATCACAGAGATGCAGATGATAGGATTTTCTGTCTAAGTAGGTGCACAGCATGGAGAGAGGGAGATTGTGATGCCTGTCTATGAACAGAACGGGACTGAAATGGGTTCAGGCAGATGAGAACAGTTGCAGAATCATGGAACCATTTGGTTAGAAGGGACCGTAAGGGTCTTTTAGGCTAATCTGCTGCCAAGATAAAGGATGTTGTTTAAACCGTCCAAAACGGTCATGGGTATTACAAGAGGAAAGAATGAGCAATGAGGATTGAGAACTGAAAGAAAACAGAAATTGCTTTTAGCTCAGTACTAAGAATGAATTTGAATAGAACTTTACACAGAGTTTTGTGGAAAAAGAGCACCCTGGAATATTCTGAAGAGGTTCTTTAGAATTACTGGGACAATTGGATCTGTTGGGTGCCTATTTTTTTTAAAGGGGCTTGACTGAAAATAGGATTCCAAATATTTCATAGTTTTGACAGTGTTTAAAAGCTTGTTCCTCTGTACTGTCTGCTTGGCCTGTGGAGATGACTTGGAGGTCTCAGGTCAGTTTCTAATGGACAGGTTATCCACATAATAAATCCCCATGACTACTCTGCCTTGATAGGATTTTAACAGAGGGCAGCGCTGTCAAAAATTGCATCGACACTGTAACGTCTACTTTCCCATCCCCAGAGGTAGTGCTTTCAAAAGGCTGAAGCATACTAGCACTGCTACTGCCCATGCTGCTCCTTTTCTGTGACTCTACTCCAGAGCTGACAGAGATACATTTCACTAGCACTAAAATTCATTAAAAATTAAAACAACATGAGCAGTAGCGTACTTCTATTGTTCTATCCATTTGCATAGATGCTACAGTGCCTATATTACAAAGGCTTTATCTGGATGTTCTGGTTAAGTCTAAGTGACAGTTGCGACATTTAAAATAATAAACCATAGGCTCAAGACACTAGTTACAGCAGAGTAAACAATACAAACCCAAATCTCAAAATAGTCGTTTGTTGTTTTTAATAAATTCATGTTTGCTATCGTCAGTTCCCTTTTGTGTTTTGCATTTCATAACAGGCTACGCTATTCAGGTAAAGTGAACCATAATATTCACAAAGTTTTTTTTCCCATCAAATTTGGTATGAAGCTTCCTCTTATCATATCTAGGTACCACCTCCCCCCACCATCTGGCCCCAAGCCCTCTCCACCACTCTGTGCCGGATCCAGGCAAGTCTTTTAGTAAAATCATGCAGAAAAAAGACAGAATTACCAGGCAGGTGAAAGGGGCTAGAAGGAGGAGGCCGGGGGAGAGGGGGGGCTGGGAGAGAGGGTGCTTGCTTCTGTTTGGGACTGTCTAAGATCAGAGCCACCCACTCCCCATGTGCCCAGGAGGGGGGGGGGGGGCTGAAGTCCCTCCCCTTCCCCCACCAGTTTGTATGGGAACGTTACTGGCGGTTCCCTTTTGTCAAGGAGTGAGGGGAAAGTACACAGTCTGCTGCATTCCTCACTGGCTGGGGAGCACAGAGGGCAGATGAATCTGGACCATGGCCCCCCAGCTTGGAGACATGCACCTTCCCTGGCTGTACTGCAGCCGCAGGGAGAGGCGCTTCTCACAACCTGGCCCCGAACTCCTGTGATGAGAGTCCCCTCTTCCCGGCAGCCTGCATACTGAACCCCTCATCCCCAGCCCTGTCCCAGAGCAATGATTTAAATGAAGCATGTACATTTCATTTTATTTTCCAAAAAACAAAAATTAGAATTAAGGATCCTCCAACGCTAGGTAAATCTTCTAGTATATAAATATATGAATACATTCAGGAAAATCATAATCTCCTAGTATTCCACAAACAAATAATAAGGCTACATTTAAAATAAATAATACCTTTTTGCAAATTATTAGTTGCATTGTAGCAGCAAAATGACGAGTGAATTGATAAGGCTGAGTTGATGCTTGATTTCAGACCCTGCTTTGTAGCTCTTTGAAACTGTATTTAAAAATAGCCTGTCACATGAGACTCTTCAGCTCAGGTTTGCAGCCCAGATGTGTGTGTGGGGGGGTTTTGTAGGAGAAAATTGTGAAGAAAATCCATTTAGCTGTTGTCTGAGCATACATAATATTTTATATATAATAAAAATTAAGGGAATTGGTGATATTTCCTATACTCAGAGATCAGACCTGTGGATTTATTTGTTTGTTTATTTGATTGATTGGTGTACACCAAACATCCTCAATAAAGCTAGTCAGAAAAATGGATTTTGAACAACCCTCCATTCAAAATGGTGAGCTCATTCGTGTAAGAGAGTGGCCTTTATGGCAAGTCCCTTCCTTGACTCCAATGAACTAGCACGTGAGCCTGATCCTAAATCATTATAGCTCCATTCAGATCAGGTGACTTGCCAGTTGACACCACCCGAGGATTTGACTCACTGTATGCTGATTGTTTAGTGCAACGAGACTGACGTCTAAGCTGTTCTCTTTTTCCTTCATACCCCAAATGAAAAATAAACTTGTTTAAATGTAAGGATGATCATTCCCAGTATGCACAGATTGCCCAGAAGAAAATTTCTGTTGTAACATATGTGTTGCATCAATATCATTGTTCTTGTAAATATGGTGAATACTTGTAAATGAGAACATAGCTGACATGAATAATGAGTAATTCATGACTTTCTCATACTAATACATATACTTACAAATGTTTTAATATTTTGAATAAACATTTATATGCATCATAACAGCATAGTGCCCTACACAGATGATAAAAAATGGTTCCTGAAGCAAAAAATTTACTGGTTTTGCCTTGATCTTTCAAATAATGCCAGTGTATATAGTTATGCTCACAGGAGGGGAGATGACAGCCACCCCGGGCTAGGGATGTTAATTGCGATTAATTGACTAGTTAATTAATTGCGATCCATCGACTGGTCTATAGGTACTTCTGCATTCCTTCTTTGAAATGTACAAGAGCCCCAGCCCCTGTACATTTCAAAGGAGGAATGCAGAAGTCCTGCTTTGAAATGTACAAGTGTCCACAGCATGGGCTCTTGTGCATTTCAAAGCAATGGAACATGGGGTCAGCTGGGGACTCCCCAGTTGATCCCAGATTCCACTGAAATGCTGCGGGAAGCCTGGGATCAGCTGAGGAGTCCCCAGCTGACCCTGGGGTCCGCAGCACTACCCCTTTGGAACCCAGGCTCAGCTGTGCGGCAGCTACCCCTTTGAAACGCTGCCTTGGTTGAAATGCCTCTAGCTGATCCCGGGTTCTAGGGAAATGCCTCTCAGAATCTGGGGTTAACTGGGGAGTTCCCAGCTAACCCCAAGCTCCTTGGCAGCTGCCCCTTTGAAATGCCAGAGGTGGCATTTTAAAGGGGCAGTTGCCACACAGCTGAGCTGGGGCTTACCTGTGCGGTGGCTGTCCCTTTGAAATGCTGCCTTGGGGTTTCAAAGTTGCAGTGCCACACAACTGTGCAGGGCTGCCGCTTTGAAGTACCCCTTCTTCCTCCCCCCCACTTTGCTGCCTCTGTCTGATAGAGGCACAAAAGGGGGAGGGGGAATCAACTAGTCCACTGACTATCCGATAAGCATTTGCTTATTGGATAGTTGACTAGTCTTTAACGTCCCTATCCTGGGCCCCAGGGTAAGGTGGGGGGAGGTCCCAGCTCCAAGCTCC